CGCATTCCAAATAGCACTTTTTTCCTCGTTAATTGACGGCAGTTTCTTTCTCTCACCTTTTTTTTTTCATTAAAATTCTCATCCATTTTCCCTTTTCCCAGGGTTCTTTTAGTATTGAGTGACCAGGAACATGTTCATCATAAACATAAAGTACAACGGTTCCGTCTATAAGGGAGGCAACGCTTTCACACCTAAGGGAAAAATATCTCCATCGGTAAATACGGTGTTTAGATCTGTTACCTTAATATTTTGGAGTAATTACAGCATGATGGACCAGAGCTCGCAAAATACATCAACTCGCGCTCTGTCTCTTGTTGATAAGTCCTTCAACGTATCAGCCCACTTATCCACCGGAGATTTGTATTCATGCTCATCCATCGGAATGAGCAGTTGTTTTAACTTGTCTGGCATACCCACTTAACTAGCTGTAAAACTCAGTCTCATGGCAAACTCTGATATTTCTTGCATGAATTCTCAGTCTGGCTTTGACACGTGTCGATAGTATTTGTTGCATGTATCTCTCAGCCAGCAATTGTTTGTTGCTTTTGTAGGTACCATTAACATGGGCTCTTCCCTTGTATGGGTATGCGATGCCGGTCATTGTTGCTGTTACGCTGGCAACAAATTCATTCATTGTTTTCGTACTATCGCGCAAATTTTTACGCACACCGACCAATCTTGTCTTGCTGGCCATGGCGATATCCGAGTTGCTCACCGGCCTGTGCTGCCTCCCATGGCTTATTTACTACTACACACTTTATGGTATGGCAAATTTAAAAAAAAAAAAGAAAAAAAATTAGTGATTTCGCTGCAGCTATTAAATGCTGCGAACAGGTACTACTCTAATGTTTTTTGAGAATAGCAGTGGAATTGTTTTTATGTGTTTTGTGCTGCAACAGCTGCAAACAACGCATATTGTCGAGATCATGTCTGTGTGTGTTTCGAGTGCATTTTATTTTCGTTTACATGAATTATCCTTCAGATTCTCCAGTCTTCTTCAAAAAATTGCAGCAGCGTTGGTAAACAAATTTGCAACGGCAATTGCATTTACAGCAGTAGCAGTAGCATGAAAGCGTGCTTGTTATGAATCTGTCTAAAAAGTCAGGATTGATAGTGTTCAGGGATGATTTGTTGCAGGCCATGTTATTGAACGGTACAGTGGTCTTCCGGCATTTTGGTGCTCAATGTTCCCATATATGGCCTATATTTTACCATCCATTTTTCATACAGTCGCTATATGGCTTACTGTTTATCTAGCTGTGCAACGATATATTTATATCTGTATGCCGAAGTTGGTGCATGGCTACTGCACTGTACGGCGAAGCAAGCAGGTGAGTGTGAACAAGAATAAAACTCAATTTCCAGGCTTTTTATCCTGATATCTCAGAGCTCTGTGTTTCACTGGTAATTGGCGCCAGCGCCGAGCCAAACTTGTTGACCAGCTGCTCAGGTCTAAGAAGCCGCTGTTGGAGCGATGCCGTTTGTAAACAACAAATTGACAATCACAGAAAGACCTAGGTAAAAAGACTTTTACGAATGTGTGAGATTGGATATTGCTTTATTGGAACAGGTCGAAAAAGTTTAGCAACAGGAAGCGTTTATGGAAGAATGTACAAGTTAAA